GTTGGATGGCGATTTCGCTTCCAAATATACAGGGAAAATGTTCTATTTTCGTCGTGGTGTTCGTATACAAGGGATGGTCCACGCAAAAACGATGAATGAAGTCAAATTTTATTAGCGGTTGGTTTAATGTTACCCCAACGAATTGTTTGGATGTGAACATTCATTTTCTCCCTGATTTGTAGGAAACTGTTTCTCAACTTGTTTCTTTATTTAGTTTCAATCAGTGTTCAAGATGGCTACCCCCATATAGTAAATATCAGTGGATTAATCGCATTTATCATATTATCACTTGTACACCAGCTGACTGTGGCCATTCCCAGGATGACCAGGGAAACTACTTTCACATTACAACGCCTCGCAAAGCAAATCATTCGGGGTAATCTAGGCATGTACCAGGCTACGTAAAAGCATACTATGTTCCCTAATGCAAAATAGACTCGCCCGGAGTGGACGCGACGACGAGTCGGCGCCAGCGAGATTCGAAAGCCAACTGTTTAGTCAAAACCCAAACATTTAGCCAATTCGCTAGCGAGTTTGCAAATTGGCTGCCCCAATACTTCTGAGACTTGCTGTAAGTCAGCAGTAGTGCAAAAACAAAATAATATTGATATTAAATAATCCAAAGAAAAGGTCATGAGCCTGTTAGTTTCAACAGGAAATACATAAAAAAAATTAAAAGAAATAAATAGTTACATAATTGCAGTGTATAAACCCAAAGACCAAACCAAAGACAAAATTCAAAAACAAGGTACAAAACATTAAAAGAGAAAAAACGTGATTTCAGAATGTAGACATGCAAGATACTACATTTTTGTAAAAAAAAAGCCTTCAATGTTCCTGCTTCTGCATATTTTTAGAAATGCTGAAAAAATTAACTTGCAAAAATTGAAACATTGTGCAGCGTTGAAAATAATTGCTCAAATTCTACATAATGTTATAAGTTTAATTTATAAAGCAAGCATATTCATCTATTGCAAGAATTAAATAAAATTTTCTTGATATTTGCAAGTTTTGCACTGCTTAATATAACACAAAAATGTAATGCATTTCATCTGCATTTATACTCTTTTAACCTGTTCACCACCAGTTCCTCCTTTTCATCACAAATTCACAAAATTGTCCTGTTTACAGTCTGCACTTTCCTTCAGAAGATTGGAACAAAAATAGCCAATTTTTTTGAGCAAAAAAATGAAAATTTACTAACATTTTGCCTGTCGGCTCCAAAATTAAGGTTCATTTCCAGAAATATTATAGAATATAGAAAAAAAAATGCGGAATTATTTGGGTGAGAAGGTCTGGTGGTTAAAAGGTTTATGTAACTTTTTTGTGTAACACTTTTGCAGTCTTTATACTTTTGCTATTTAATAGACTTTATTTGATGAAAATAGCATCAATAAAGATGACCTCTAATGATAATAGGCAGTTTTTCAGATCTCATCTGCAATGCATAACTTACAAATCTTTCAATAACTACTAGAGAAAGAATACCTGTACATGTAGTGAAAATAGACTCTGGACCAACCCAGGATGTGAGGGACTACATCCTAGCAAAGCGGTATGGAGGTAAGATTACAATGACACATAACTGTTTTCAAGACAGTTTGATCCAATTTCTCCTATTAAAGCATGTTTGCAATGCATTGTGGGAGAAGAATCATATTGAATATAACAGTAAATAGTAATCTAATTAGAAATGCCATTTTTTATTAATGCTAACATTGTCAGTAATGTTATCCATAACAATTATGATTTTTTTTCCAGCGCATATCACTAAGCATATAGAATATGCAAAACAAATGAAAGTTGTACTGTTTTTCACAAAATTTCAGACTCAATTCTCAACAAAAAAAAATGCCTGGTTGGCCACACAGCTTGTTTTTTCATTTTCTCTATCCTAATGACATGCATTCAACTTCCAATTTGGTTTGAAATTCCTTAAAACACGTGAATCCACAGTTTTGACTAAATATTGGAGATCAAAACAGTGGCGGTATTTAATTCTATAGTATAGAATATACATGTAGTTCTGTGTGTTTTTTAAAAGTAAATCATCAAAACTTATAGTAACAGCGTAAAAAACAATTACTGTACCCATCAGTTTAATTCTAAGCCTTAACACAAGAATTATTAGTAGACAGTTGAAAATGAGACTAGAAAATGTGAAAATAAAATCAAGGCAACAATATCAATACGATACTGGACACCACACATTAGTCATAATTGAACAAATCAATTTTAGCAGAAAGTCACATTGAAATTATTAATAACAAGTCACAGAATTATGACAGTGATGCTTAGTTTGCAATAAACATTGAATCTTGAATACCTGGTTCAAGTATAATGTCAAGAAATTATAACCAATCTAGTGGAAAGCAGTTTGTAATCTTTCATGGTCGCATTTGGGTCATCTCCTCTATCTTGATCAGAACACTTCACTACCTATGGAAAAGGGGCGGGGCTAATGCCATACCACTTCACTAGGATGAGCGATAGCACCTAATTTATAATACCTTGTACTTGACTGTGACGAGTTGCCAGCAGCAGCACCGGATGATGATGATGATGCTCCTGATGTAGCCGATGTACCAACTACGTGGGACGAATGAGATCGTCCACTGTGCCCGGGCCCATGATGCGTACCGTCAGCTTTTAGAACTCCTATACACTTCCAGTTATCTAAGTAGTTTGCTGCAAATTAAATATTATATCGAGGTTAACACCCAAAATCACAGGATATTACAAATAATGTTATCAACTATATTGTCTATGAATTAAGGGCTGTAATAATAGTAGTGAATTGCTTTATTCGTTTAAAGATTGCCAGAACTCCCGAGTATCATCTATCTCCCTAACCCACTGCATACAAAATAAATACTTTTACACATATCTGCAATTCTAATAATGAGAGAAATTAAAACAAAACACGCTACATTGATCAAAGAAACAACGGAAGACAGATATATGACAATTGTTCTTGTAATAGTTATTTTCTACATAAGCGGAGATGGTGATTGGAAAAAGAATTCCGTTGAGACACATTTTCTGGTTTTTGATACGGACTGGTTATACTGTCTGCAAATGATTAGATGTTATATTATATCAGAGACTGGTTTGCAATGAACAAGTTGTTTACTTTGGGTATCACATGTGATACTATGTATAAATTACCTTTCCATAACCTCACACATCCATCATCACCAGACGATGCTAGTATTGTACCAGTAATGTTCCAATTAACTCGCCATACCTGTAACAAGAACACACTTCATGTACTATTGGATAAAGCACAGTAATACATATTTTGTATGCAGGGACTGTGCCCGACTTATATCATATTGCAAAACATGATGCATGATTTTTCTACAGAATTGAAACACTTGTAAACTAAGTAGCTCTCCTAGAACCTTATGAATCAAATCACTTCAATTTTGTGAGTGACATATTTTTACGAATTTCAGGAGACAGTGAAAAAAGCGAAATTTTGTTGCAATGGAAATTGTTCACACGATACAGAGTGTCAGTGATTTTTGCACAATTTTGTCTTCATCCAATCTTGAAAATTCATTGCAGCAAAAACAAGACATGAATGTCACAGTCCTCGTTATCTAATTATAAAATACTCATGTTAAAATAATAAATGGAACATCTGCAAACAATTGAATTAATATGTACTCTATGTGGGTGCAACTCATCATAGAGTGATTGCCCTTAATCTGATAACTGAAAACTGTCATTGACCCGGGTCAACTATGTCTCATTCATGCTCAAGAAACTGCATTCATAAATCTGAGTAAACCTTGATGTACCTTTAATAACAACTTGACTTTGTATATCAGTATCACCACTAAAATTCCCATCAAAATGTAGCCCTGACACCCCTCTACATTTTCTACTGAGATTGGTAATGGTACGACCCATCTGTCACTGATTCAGATCACCTGAACAGGGACTAATTAAGCAGTTTACAGTAACCACTTTTAATGTAACCAATTTCAGTTGATGCATGAGAGAGTTAAGGTGTTCAAATTTGATTTCTATGCACATAAGAGTCACATGGAACCAATATATTGAACAAGAAATAGTGCAACAACTGTGGGATCGATTAGTAGTAGCTTTTTACACAAGGCTTATCTCAAGTGCTCAACCCTACTGTAACAGTAATTCTACAGAGACACACATGGTGAAATTTACCTGTGAGTTATGTTCATCAAATTGTGCAGGCTGTCTAACTTCAAATCTTGTAACGCCACTATGCTGGCCTACGGTACTTTGAGCTCGTCTGAAAAAAAAGAGATAATTAACAAGTTTTAGTTGCATATAAAAGTAAGCGATTATGAAAATTTAGAGAAAAAAAATGTTTAAACTGCATTACCCCCCCCCCCCTGAAGCAATGAAAAAGAAATATAATAACTCACATAAATGCTTAGTGTCAAAAGAGCAACAAGTTAATGATAAATCTTTACGGTCTTAGCATCTTTGGATATATATATATATATATTTATTATACATCTGACACCGTAATGCCATAAGTTACAGCATATCATAATTTTGCGGTATTTTACAAGGTAAGGAAATGCGAATTCCAAATATGGAATGATTACACGCGTAAGCGTTCTAAAATAATAAAAACAAACATGGCTGCCACCAGGGTTTGACCGAACACCACACAAAGAAGTTCGCTGATTCTGTTCTAAACTTTTTGGATTTCGGCATTTCCATGATGTATCCTTGAAGGGAAAAGATGTTATAATAATAAGGTTATTCCGAGGACACCTCAAAGTATGCACTCAGACAGTACGCCGTCGCATCGACCTCCGCTGCGCATCGGTCGATCCTCCAGCTGTACTGTCTGGCTGCCACCAGGGTTTGACCGAACACCACACAAAGAAGTTCGCTGATTCTGTTCTAAACTTTTTGGATTTCGGCATTTCCATGATGTATCCTTGAAGGGAAAAGATGTTATAATAATAAGGTTATTCCGAGGACACCTCAAAGTATGCACTCAGACAGTACGCCGTCGCATCGACCTCCGCTGCGCATCGGTCGATCCTCCAGCTGTACTGTCTTTGTGCATACTTTGAGGTATACTCATAATATCCTCAGACCGGTAATACCATACCGAATAACAATATTGTAATTTACATTTAAGCCAGATTTTTACTCCAGTTGATAGCATCTGTTTAAATGGCTTAAGACATACATATCAATTATTTTGCAAATATGCTTTCCACATTAGACAACTTGAATACAATATATATATATAGGATTGCCGACATCTTTACAGTAAATCATAAGTCATAGTACCAAATATACATGTGGGACATGCAGTTGTCGGTAACAACCATCAAACACTTCAGTCTTACCTGAGTGGCTTTAACATGATTATTCGGACATCTTTAGACGCTACCGCTAAAAGGTGATAAGAACGGCCTAGATTAGGTGCAAATGCTACATCATGGACTGCCTCTGTTACTGTCATCAAAGTCTCCACTTTGTTCCATTTCCTGTCAAGCAACATTTATTATGCAATAATCTTTTTTTTTAGGTTACAAACTTAAGAAAAATTCAGGCACTTGCTCCATCACAAAGGTTTTTGAGTGGGTTCGAAGTGAACGAGTTTTCACGTGAGTACGTACATAGGACAAACTGTTGAAACTGACACATCTTTTCCTATTGCCTCAGTAAAATGTATGTATGTTAATTACAAAAATTTGGTCAATAACTTTCAATTTTTTATGCCTACATATGACTTTGTATAGCAATAAAAATATATTTACACCAAATTAGATATTTCTAAGAACGTTCATAAAACTGTCTGTAACACCCATAAATTAGAGTAATTAAAATTAGTAATCATAATATATATTAATAAACTGGGTAACTGCGACCACAATTAATAATATACAATAGTGTTAAAAACATTTTCATATACCCTTATCCAGCCAGCCCTATGAAAATTTATGTTGACTTCATATAAGGTTTAAATAATTGCAAATACACAAGTTGAACAGTCATGATAACTTTCACACAAAAAAGTCAGGAAGCAGCCACAAAAAAAATAGCATCCCACTCCACAGAAATATAAGGACAAAATTCTTTTCTTTGAAATCATTGCGAGCAGAAATACACAAGAGATGCAACTCTGAAACTGTGAATTTGTTAAATTCTGCCACAAGAGGGCAGTATTCACCACTTACCGATTACCATCAGAATATTCATATACTTGTACTTTTCCACCTCCTGTTGTACTTGGATCATCACTACCAACTGATATCATAGCTGGATGTACTCTACAATCACATTTGAAACAGAAATTGTATGTTAGTGTTCTACATCAATGCCATGAGATGAACAGAAAATATCTGCTTCAATTAGTAAACTTAAATAGTCTGTTACAGGGACAATGTAGTCAGAACTTTACATGTGTGCATTCTACTTTTCTCCATTCATTCAACACAAAGTAATAGTAAAGTTATAAACATAAATCAGTATCTCGTACAATATCATCATGAAAAGCCTGGAACTATGAATAAGCTCAAATTATTTTATTTTGTAAGACTTTTAGCAGCTCGGTAAAAATCGTTCACTATGTACACACATGTCATCAGAACAGCATATCTTTTTAACCCTTTTATTGCCAATGTCAGTCTTCAAACTCACGCAACTTAGTTTAAAATTTGGAACAAGGCCAGTAATGAGAAATGAGAAATTATGTCCATTTAGATTGGGGAAGAGTAGGAAATCAAACGGGCGGTGCACCGCGGTCATTACCGCGGTGTACCGCAGAACGCCGGGGAGAGCCGCGGACTGCTTATAATTAGGGGTCTCTACCGCTGTACCGGTCTCTACCGCGGTCCTCGGTAATGTGTGAAATACGTACTTAACAGTTTCTTTGTGATTCCACGAGTCATTGTTTTAAAATCCGATGCTGTAAATGAATACGATATGTGCGCTTGTTTAGTATTTAGTACATGTATTTAGCGTAACACTGGAATAAAGTTTACAATTGAAAAGAAAACGATTTACAAAGTTTCAGCGTATC